GCTGTCGCAAACGCCGTCGCCGAAACAACTTGGTTACGCAACCTACTTTCTGAGTTGCTCTGCCCACTTTCGAAAGCCACTATTGTCTACTGTGACAACGTCAGTGCCGTCTACCTATCCAGCAATCCTATTCAACACTCTCATATGAAACATGTGGAGATCGATATCCACTTTGTCCGAGACAAAGTTGCTTTGGGACACGTTCGAGTTCTTCACGTCCCATCCGCCTACCAGTTTGCCGATATCTTCACGAAAGGACTCCCTACTCAACTGTTCCAACAGTTTGTATCCAGTCTCCACGTCCTCTCCTTTCCCGTTTCGACTGCGGGGGTGTATTAGCGTATATATTATATATATTACGTGTACTATTATGATTCTTATTTATTATAGTTACCTTGTATAATAGGTTACCTTGTGTAGTAGGTTAGAGTTTCCTACATGTAACTATATATATGATTAATATACGTAAGAGATATTATTCTCTCTTTTCTCCAAACCTATTTCTCCTATATGTAGTATTCTAAGTTAGTTTTCTGATCCAACTTGAATCACCAAAATTTGATGTCGGACGAGAAAGATATACATGAATCAATGAATACTGCCCACAACTTTGATGTATTGAGGTATCTAAAATTCAAAATGTGACTCATTCATGCATAACTTTGTCACACGGTATCCAACCTAGCGGATTTAAATTGGATTAGAAAGCTAACCCGAAGGACTACAGTTTTCGTGTTTCGAATTTTGCCAAAATCAAAATTGAAATATATCAAAATCAGGTTCGCAGTCAAAACGACATTACTACAATTGAAACGACATTTAACATTTCAGTATGCTAAATAACAATTCCATTTTCAGAAACACTTTCTTCCGTCACGTAAGGTTGTACATATTTTACTTTTATTCCTTTTTTTTCTTTTCCCTTTTTAGTGTTGGAGGTAAATGGTAATTAGACATTTTGTTGACGTTGCGATTTCACTATTTCAATTCAATTTATATTTTAACCGAGAACCGCTGCCAAACACGGTCTGATCTGACGGGTAAAATTGGCCGAAAAGAATAAAAGCAGGGTAAGACCCTGGTGAAGAACCGAGAAAATAGCAGTTAAACCTCTCAAGTCAACCGGTCAAAGAACCATTTTTTTTAACCAAAATGAATAACGAAGACAAAAGAATATATATATATATATATATATATATATATATATATATATATATATATATAGAGAGAGAGAGAGAGAGAGAGAGAGAGAGAGAGGAGAGAGAGAGAGAGTCCATTGCTTCATTTGCTGACACCTCGCGCTTTAGGGTTTTAAAACAGGAACGATGTTTTTTATAATTTTCTGATAGTCCTAGGACTATTTTAGAAGAAATAAAACATGTTTGTATCCCCTAAATTAAAGGTTGCATACACAATCTCCCCAACTGCAACACACGGTCTGAAACCTCTGACAATTTTTTTTTTCTTTCGTTACTTCTTTTCATCAGCTTTTCTAAACTTATTTTTATAACTTCTCAATTCAAATGCATATCACATCTGTATACCAACCCGAATTATAATTTAGTATTTCATTCGCTTGAAAGAATCGAAAACTATTGGGTGAATTCTTCATTTTAATGTTCTATCGGCGATGATGGAGTGACATGCGAACTGGTTGTTTTTATTCGTGCAATTTTTGTTTTAGCGAATTTTTTCTTCTTCTTGGTGATTTTTTTTTGTTTTTGATTCCCTCTCTTGATTATCTTGGGTTATGAATTAAAAACCCAAGCTGAGAATTTTGTATTAAAAATCTATTTTTGTCATAATTTTGATATATGCGTGCGTGTTGACTGATGAATCTTTTTCTTTTTATTTGTTTCGTATTTACATGTAGGCATTTTAGCATGTCCCTTTAACTGAAAAAGAAAAGAAAAAAAAGTCAAAACTGTAAAGAAGTGTCAAATTGCTTGCGTGGTTACCGTGATACTAATAAGTAATAACTAGTGAAATATCTTTTCTTATTTGTTTTATGTTACTTTTAGGTTGGCACTTAAGCAAAATGAAGAGAAAAAGGTTTATTATGTACGTAGTTTGTTAGTACTACAAAATGTGCAATTATATGTTCTTTTCTTGATTTATTGTTTAATGTTTGAGAGGTTTTTGCTTTTTGTTGTAATTTGCATATTTAGGATTTTATTTGTTTATATTTACATTTGCATTATTTTGAGTACTTAGAGGTATTTTTCATGCATCTTATTATATAATGGAATCGAGCACAAAGTAAATGAAGGAAGTCGAGCAAGAAGTGTGAAGAAAAATGCCTTATTACGCATGATATGTACTAGGTGCGCTCGCGTCTGGATTTGTGTGCGCTCGCGCGCAAGAAAGATGATGCCAAGCTGTAATAGGGTCGCGCACTCTCTGGACAGGAATAGCGCATACGAGCACGTACAATTGAAAACTTGCAAAACTTGAAATTAATAAATGGAGAGGAGGAGATTGCTTTGAGAAGCCTTTAAAAAGCCATATAAAATAGGAGTTATTGCCCTAAATTCTACACACAATCTTGAAGATCAGAACACGACACTTTGGAGAACATAACTATTAGTGGAAATACCTACACGCAAGTGTACGTATCGTACAAGTAATATAGTGGACAATTACGTCCGGATATCGATTCCACGAGGAATATTCAACTATTTAATTCTAAGCGCTAGATTATCTCAATTATGTTCAAGCTCATCCTACACAATCGAATTTAGAGAAGATTAACTAAATTAAACTAAAATATAAAACACAAATAAAAAGCAAGCAAAAATAAGAAAGCATATAACACGAAGATTTATCAAAGTAAACTAGCTTAGGATTTTATCTTCTCCTATGTGATTATTGATCCCCCAATTCCCTCAATTATGCAAGCAATTAACTCGGATTACTAACCTGAGATGTTAAATTAATCATAATCCGCTCTCGCATGTATTATGATTCTATTGCTCAAGCCTAAAATACTGTATTCGTACGCAATTCAATCAAGAACAAAACATTAAAGCACAAATATACTTAAATCTAAACAAAAGATCCACGTAAAGTAAACGTATTGAGTGTAAAATCTACACTCAACAATAACACACGAGAGAACGCAACTTTGGAAAACAAATCTGATGAGAGAAATACCTTGTGACCAAAAAGAACGAAGAACACACGCAAACGGATAATCGAAATGATGGTATAGCGACAGTAGCACCGGAAATCAAGAGTAAGCGTGCAATTCTCATCTCAAATCATAGAGTTTTTATTTCCCTTATCTTTTGATGAAGTTTGGTAATCTCCAAACAGTTTTACTTGCTTCGTATAATTACGAGTAACTAAATTCTTTAATCTTAGGATTATATTAGCACTTTATGTGGGGATTTTGAACCTATTTTTTCAATATTGTACAAATTTAATTTTATGGTTATTTCTTTTATCTGCGTTTATTTAGTGCATGAATCTGGCTAATATGTGTTGCTATATGTTATTGTTAAAATTGAATTGAGAGAACCTTTTAATTAGAACGGTGATACAAGAACATTCGAGTATTTTTCACAGGATTAGTGTGTTAATTGCATGTGATATCGTAGACATACATGTATCACCTTAAGTAACCATTGACGAAACATGTTATTTAATGTGTTACTCATAACCTGGTTCCATAGACATACAGTAATATGTTTGTGAATAATAGAATTATAATACACGCGAAAGCGGATTATAAGTAATTTTGTGTCTCGGCTTACTAATTAGTAATCATAATTTGCATGATAGAGGTTTAATTGGGTGAAGAATGAAAGCAAAGGGCGAAAGATAAAATCCTAGGTCCGTTTTTATTGATATTTTATCATGTTTATTTACTTTCGTAGATAGTTTTGTAATTTAGATCATAAAACCCGACAACCTTTGGCTTGCTGGATAGGTACAATTCGGTACTTATGATTAGATAATTTGAGTATCCCTTGTGGGATCGATATCCGACCCTCTCGAGTCCACTTTTATTTTTATTACTTATTTGCAATACATGCACTTACGTGTTATTATTTTATACAACGTGGTTTTTAAAAATGTTATATATATATATATATATATATATATATATATATATATATATATATATATATATATATATATATAAGGGTTTATTGAAAAAATGGAGGCCCCAAAAAAAATGGACATTTTGGAGGCCCAAGCTGTGGTCCGTCTGTCGGCCTTGGTATCATTCATGAGTGCATTTTTTTCATCAATATGTCGGACATTAAAATATTTAATCATAATCTCAAGCAATCAGTGAAAATATAAATTTACTATTATAATCAGGTGTCAAAATTCAAACACATATTTAATTCGTAATTACAAATTAGAAAGTTGCCTAGGAAAGTTCATCAAACATCGTTCGAGATTGTTTCATATATATAATTAAGTATAACACTTATTTGGATCTAAAAAATCAACAGGTCATTTAATTCCTTGTATGCATGCATAGTCTATGTTGAAACATCCCAAGCAAATTGTTGGATGTATCAAAGATGCCAAAAGTTGATTAATTTAGTCCAAAAACACAATATACCTTATTTGTGTTGCAGCAAACTAAGCCATATATAAGAATTTGAAACCCAAACATCAAACCCCTTTTCCTTTCTTCATCATATTTGAGAATTACACACATATATATTTGGTAAATAACATACATATAAAAGCTAGTTAGGTGGGAAAAAAAAAGATGCGGAGCTGTTTTTCGATAAGCAAAAGTAGGTTGGCCGAAGATGTGATACTTGAAGAGTCGGGTGGATCAAGGGATGATCCAACACGCATACTAATAGTGATGGATGCTTTGAAGGAGTTCTCTTTTGAGTTACTCGAATGGGTCCTCAACAACTTCACTTTTCGACATTGTTGTACAATCACTCTCCTTGGGATTATGCCGTGGCTCAACATCCCCCGTACGTAATTATATATTAATAATTATTTTTTCATTTCAACATCCCCTACGTAATATTATTAATTCATGTGTATGCGCAGTTTCTGCAAAGACAAGGTCAGACATTTGGAGTATGGATTTTGATGACTTGTCATCCTTTCAAGAAAAAAATGAGTTCAAGAATGATCCCAAGTATCAAAAAATTCAACGTCTCATCCAACTTTGCCGAAAATATGGGGTATATTACGTATTAATTTCTTGTTTCTTTTTTAAAGTTCTCATGCATCTATGTCTAGAATTTTTATCAAATTAAATATTGTTGTTTATAAGTTTAATCTGTGTATGCATGCCTCATGTATTTGTTTTGTTATATATATAACATAATTAATTAATAATCTTGCAGGTTGTTCCTGACATAGTAACTGAAATGGGGCATCCCATACGACTTCTTGTTGTCGAACAAATCAGCAGCCTTCACGCTACATTAGTTGTTTTCGACAGGTACATAACTATCTATGTGTACCATTAATTAATAATTATATGCTTGTGTACCACACGAATATATATTTCTTATGTTAATTTAATTTATAGGGATTTGACTATATGTATGAATGTGTGATAATTAAGGCACCATGATAAGAAGCACATAGAGTACTATGCGGAGAAGATAACATGCGACATGGTGGTAATGAACGACAATGGAGACGTAGACCTCATCAAGAAACGAAAGCTAGACACTAATAATAATCATACACCACTTGCGGAGGAGGCGGAGGAGGAGAAGGAGGAAGACTGCTCATCAACATTGCCTCCATCTTGCTCCAAGTCCATTATTTCAGAACACATCAAAAAATATCTCAAATCTAAAACTCGGGGGAATAATAAACCTACGTGACAATGTCAATGAATAATATTACTTGTTCAATTCATCAACTATATGCCAAATTACCTCCATTTGGAATTCACTTAAGAACATTATGTATTTTGAAATATAACTCCAACTTTGAACTTCTTGTTTATCTAATGTTAAAATTATCTGAGTCTCACAATCTCCTTTTTTTTTCTTGTTTATTCATTGCATGCAGAGTGATTGGTATATACATTTGTTATACTTTTAGAGTTTCTAAATTTGTGTTGATAAGATGTTGGGTACTTGTGTGTATATAATAACAAATCACAGTAGAAAAACATGGTGACATTAATCAAATAAAATTTAAAGTAAGAAAAATATCACCATAACGACTCCAACACATGGAATCGTTTTTCCAGTAGCTTTCACTACAAGAAAGTTCGCATTTGGCTACAACAAATTTCGTTGTGCAAAGTATATAATTTCGTTGATAATTCCATTCGCAACGAAAATAAGTCGTTGCTAGCTTCGTTGTCTTTTATTTGTTACGGAAAGTTCGGGGCAACGAATTAAAAGTTGTTGCCAATACATTTAGTTTGCGCAACGAATTCATGTCGTTGGCAAATATTTTTCGTTGCCTATACATTTAGAATGCACAATGAATATATTTTGTTGGCAATTATATATCGTTGCCAATGTATTATCTATACACAACGAATTTGTTTTCGTCACCAATAGTATACACAACGAATTTATTTTCGTTGCCAACGAATTTATTTCATTGCAAAACTATAGTCCGGATTTTTATCGAAGTCGGACCCACATGCGCCAACCCGACCCACATCCATTGGACCACCGAGCCAAGCCGGACCCACATCCATTGGACCACCGAGCTACTTCGGAATATGAATAGTTGGGTCGTACTCACAACCGGCCCAACGGGCTGATAAATGTTAAATATATAAAAATATGACAATGGTAGGAATTGAACCCTGGTTGATTTGAAGTTAAAGACCATTCAAACCGCTGGGGCAACATTATATTCTGCAAATTTGTTGAAAATAAATTTATAATAACTAAATAGACAAGGAAAAATGTTTATTATAGTTATAGAAATAAATAAGATTTTTTTTATCATATTTTATTTTATAAATAATAATAATAATAATAATAATAATAATAATAATAATAATAATAATAATAATAATAATAATAATAATAATAATAATAATAATAATAATAATAATAATAATAATAATAATAATAATAATAATAATAATAATAATAATAATAATAATAATAATAATAATAATAATAATAATAATAATAATAATAATAATAATAATAATAATAATAATAATAATAATAATAATAATAATAATAATAATAATAATAATAATAATAATAATATATTCAATAAATTAAAATCAAGAAAAAATAGTTGGTTTGTAAATTGACAACGATTATATTTTGTTGCCAATCACTTGGAACATTTACAAACGATTATATTTTGTTGCCAAATCACTTTGAGCATTTACAACAAAATATTTCGTTGTCTTTTATCACTTACTGGCAACAAAATAAATTTGTTGTCGTTGTATATGTATTTACTACAATTTTATATCGTAGCAAAAAGAATCACTCTTTTGCAACAAATGAAGTTGTTGCCTTACATTAAATTCGTTGCGAAATATATATGATACTATTCACAACAATAGTTTTCGTTGCCTATGGGATTCAAAGGCAACAAAAATTTCTTGTTACAAAAAGGTTATTTTTTAGCCACAAATACTATATTTCGTTGCTACAATATAATTATTGGCAACGAAATTAATTTCGTCCACAAAGAAATCGTTGCCTATTTTACATTTTCTTGTAGTGTTTGGCTGAGTCCCTTTTATGTCCAGTCCAATCCTTTTTTTCAAGAAGTCTAGGATGGTGGTAACCCACACAAGACCGGGCACCAACTTAGGTTTCACTCAGTCCAGACCTAAACCTACCCAATTCTCACAACTGATTTGACTCACCAACTCATACACAGTCAATTTGTAAAGGCGAACACTCAATCACTCAATTCAATCCTTACACAATAGTGTTTGATCACGCACAGAAGAAGATTAACCTCAGAAGAATGGTGAATGGATAAGAATCTATACATCTCTCAATGAGTATTTAACATGGAACTAACCATATCAAGGAGTATCCTATTCACCCTCTCAACAATACCGTTTTGTTGAGTGGTGTACGCAACAGTTCTATGCCATTATCTTTTTTTAAGGTTTTGAATTTCTTTTCAATTTAATTTTTAACTAAAACCTTGCATGCGTTGAACTTATCAATTACATCAGATTTATGCTTAATAAGAAACACAAAGGCCCCTCTAGAGAAATCATCAACAATGGAAAGAAAATACATATCTCGGCATGAGTAGGAACAGAAGCAGGACCACACACATCAACATGTATATACTCAAGAATATCAGTGCATTTTGATGAATTTGGGTATTAAGAAACATAAAATCTAACTTTATTTGATTTTCTATGATACATGAATCACATAAAGGCATTTGAGACACAACATCCTTGCCAAAATAGTTGTTTCATGAGAATTTCAAGACCTTTACCACTTATATGACCTAACTTCTTATGCCAAAAGTCAGTTAAGTTATGTTGGAAAAAAATCATAGATACAACTAGGGGTATTTGTTATAATAGTGAGTCTAAGGTATCAAAGATTAATTCAAAAGGATTCAGTTTTAGCCTGGTTTTTTTAATTTTAAGCATAATCATGCAAATTAGATTCTTATAAAGCGGGATTAAATCTAATCTAGGACTTATATATGGATTTCTAAAATCCTTTTGTGTGCCAAATTCAGTGATGGTGGATGTGGCGGCAGTGTGGTGACGATGGAGAGCAGATCTAGAGTTTGTAGTAGATCAGGCGGATGACGGCGCGGGTAGAAAAATTGGCGCAGACTGAACTCTTAATTGACTATGTTTCATCAGTCGATTAAGTTAATCGACTATGCTCTGATAGTCGATTAAAGTGTTAATGGACTGTTTTGGTAGCCAACTAAGATTACTCAATTTTATTTTTAATTTGTTCTTGGATTTTTGTGTATTGGTCGATTACGATTTGTATAAATCAATTACAATTTATGTATATTATTTATTTTGTAAAAAAATGTGGATTTTCGTTTTTATATAGTTGTGTTTTTTTTTTACTAGTCAGTTCCTTAATCAACTATGTTTCATCATAGTCGATTAATATGCTTCATAGTCGATTAATATACCTGATAGGTAAAAAAGTTAAAAATGAAAAAAAAATAAAAAATAAAAAAAATTTAAAAATAATAATAATTAAAAAAATAATGAAAGAAAAAAAATTGTGATGGGTGGTGATGTGCCATGGGCATAATTGAAAAAATAGATGGCTGAAATTATGGGTGAACTTTTTTCAAACAGTGCAAAATAATTTTAGTTTCTCCCTATTAAAAGAAGTATTGAATGAATTATATCAAAGAGCCCAAAATATTAACTATATATCTTCTGAAAGTAGCTTGTACTTAATTTTCATATCATTAATATTTTAAATATTAGCAACTAACAATTGTAATATATGCAAAACCTAGCATGAGATCTCATCAAACAATTAGGTCAAATATTAATTATTCGGCGAAAACTAGAGTTGGGATTGAGTTGGTTTTTACCCGATAATCGATTCATTACCGATCATATTTGTAGATGGATAAAAAAAATTAACCGACCCATTGGATCGGGTCGGAAATTTCGATCAACCCATCTTTAATGTGTCGGTTGACGGCTACCAATATTATCAAAAGTCGGTTGACCGATAATTATCAGTTAACCAACAAATAGTAGTAAAATTTTATTAAAAAAATATAAAATAAACGGTGTTGTCTTTTTAAGTGAGTATTGGAATTATCAAAATAGTTAGTATTTTAAATTAAACACAAAAGTCAACGAAGAAAAAAAGTTGACATAAATCTTCCATTAGAATTTCGGAATTATATTTTTTTGTCGAATTGCTATTAACTATTTTGAACTGATAAACGATCATGGCAAGTGGCACTAGGTGTTACAGGGGTTAATTTATCACCGAAATTTTCCCTTGTACGGCCTGATTTGCCCACCAAACCAGTCAGCCTTCCTCACGATTTTCTTCGCACAAACACGCACAAACACAAGTCTTTTCAGCCACGTAAACGAACACAAGAGTATGCAGCGGAAAACAAACACACAAGCACGTTTACGGGCAATGCCCAACCTTTATATTAATTCCCACAACGAATACAAAGGAGACTAAGGTGCACACACAAAATCCTCACTCAGAATTGCCCAACAATTGCAATCTGAACTCTCATATGCTAGATCCCTCGGATTTGTGCACTCATAGCCTAATAAATACAAGGAAAAGGTAGTTTTCACACAAAACTACCTAAGGACACATGGCAGCATACAAACATGACACTTGGCCAACTATTACAAGTATAAAGGGGCAGTTTTCATGCATTTTCAGGCCTCAACCGCTCCATAACTTCCTCAAATCCGCCCACAAGGCTGATTTCCGAAGCCCATCTTGATCGGGCGCGCCCGCGCGCCAAACGGCCCAAACAGCCCGGCCGGTTGCTAGGCAGCCCATCTGCCTTGCCTTTTCCGCACTTTTGCTTCCCTTTACCGATCACTTGCCAGTTCTTTGCCCACACGGTCATCGGCACGCCCGCTCATCGGGCTGCCTTGCTTGCCTTGCCAATTTTGCCCACACTTGTCAAGTCGTGGTCGATTTCCCTCGAACGTTCGTTTGCCCACATTATCGGCCACATGCCGATTATTGCCCAAGCTTGTCCGCATTTGCTGCCGAGCAACGCCCGTGCCAGCCACAAGTACTTTCGATCACCGTTCCCACTTGAACCAAGCCGATCCTTGCTTTCTCGGACAAAACACCCCGAATGCTTGTCCGACACTCGACCACTCATTGGCCGATTGTGTGGCTGTCTTGTGCCAACCTTTGCTTGGCACCCATTA